GAATTAAAATCTTTCAACAATACTAAATAGGGACTTTTAATTTGCACATATAGTCTATATTATAAGATCAAATACAAAAAATAGTTTATCCTTTCTTAAATTTAAAAATAATCTTTTTAATATTTAGTTGATACATAATTTAAAAAGCTGTCCTTTTAAAATTATAACACTCTACTTTTTGTAAATACCACAACAAACTCAAAACACGAAAAATCAAGCAAATGAGAGAGACAAATGAGAGCTACAGTCACAATAGGAGAAACAAGTAGATCAAACTCAAAGATGAAAGAAAGCAAAGCAATGTGAGCGAGCCACAATCACAACAGCGAGAGACATTAACGATACTCGACGGAACAGAGCACACTGGCATGGAGATAAATTTATAGAAATTTTCATATTACAAATATGCGATACTATATCATTAATATATGGATGATGTATATCAATGATAGACAAGTTTATATTTCATTATTTGATTATGTTGACCTGTAATAATATATTAGTGATATGCTACTGCACATCACTCATAAACACAAAAACAATCTAATCATTTGCCCGAAATAGATCAAACTATGTTCGTAAAAAATTTTAGACACCTTAACTTATCACATAAAATCAAAAACTTAAAATAATAAAATAAAAAATATGAACAATGAGAGAATAATATATGTTTTTTTGTGAGAAATTCAAACAAATTTCATGATGAATGACAACAAATTATAGATTATGAATAAATGATTTATTGATTCAGTGAAGATATTGCCCACATAAATGAAGATCATGAAAATTCGATGATAAATAATACTCTTCAACTTTCAAAAAACAAAATACATGACAACTTTAATTCAAATCTTGAACTACGTGATGTTGAATGTAGAATCTGATAATGAAGTTTAGTCTTTAATGTCAAATCTTGGTTTCATAATATACCTAAGAAAAATAGAGAGAGAAAGAAAAGAAAAGCATTGGCATATAAAACTTCGCTTCTTTATGATGAAAGAACTATTGTGAATGCACGATTTAGTCAGTTAAAAATTAGTTATAAAAAATTTATTGTGTTTTAATAATATATTTATTTTGAAAAAAAATTACATTTAATTAATTTTATGAATGAGTCATATTTTAAAATATTTAAATATCTTGTTTATCATTATAGTAACTGCATTTTTTGAAGCCGTTGAACTAATTTATTTCTCAGCGTATTATGAGTTTGTAAGGTAATTATTCACTTGGCGCGAAACAGATTAAACAAACAATGAGCCAAATTAAAATGTCACGTTCATTTCAGGATAAGCGAGCCAACACATGCAAGTATTTAACCCTTTTGTTTTATTCTAGCCTAAACAGTTGTGCGTTGTGAGGAATATTCTGCTTAACAATGCTTATTATTATTTTTTTTTTACCAACAATAATACTTATTAATTAATTAGCATAAATTTTTAAATTTTGAGCATGCTAGTCTAAAAGGCTGACTAAGCTTGAAACCAGCACTGTCATCCACAAATAAAAAGTAATGGAAGAGCTGTTTCTTTTGAAACCATTAGCATAACGACAATAACTTGAGATAATTAAACTTTCTTCTTGTTTTTTCCCCCACTTTCACTGTTTTAAATTGCCAATTAGTGTTTATTATTAGAGGCATTGTTCAATTAGTAAGAAAAAGTTGCATTATCTTAATTATATGTTTTGGGTTTGAGTCCTCAAAATATATCAGCGTTGATAATAAAGCTTCTGAACAAAAGGATTCCATTTCAACTCCATTCAATGGGAATCTAACCAGATGTTTCATGCACCAAAAAAAAAAAACGAAAGAAAAAAATAACAATTGCTTATAACACCATTAATTAATTAAGAATGTTCATGGTCAATGATTGAGGTTGCTTTATCTTGATGAAATTTCAGGCACGCAGCTCGCAGCTTGAACAACATTGACATGAAAGACCGAATTTTTTTTTTTGAAAAAAAAAGCTTAATCATTCTACCAAAAGAAGTAGTTAATCATAATTGAAGAATATTCATTTTTTATTAAGAAGAATATTCAAATTCTGGCCGCAGATGTAAATGTTTATTTTCACGTTCGCCATTCATAAAATGTTGTTTTCGACTCATTTGCATTAGCATCTGTTTAACGTTGCTCTTTTATGTGATTGGGCAAAAAAATAACAATCAATTTAATAATGTATTAACTCAGTCGTTCATAACTTCTTTGGAATGAATAATTTTTAAATTTTAATAAATACACCTTCCGTTCAAAAATGTAAGGCATTTTTTTAAAAGTTAGATATTAAAAAATGTAAGATATTTTTATTAGTCTTTTGAGATATAATAATTATTTTTTTTAAGTGTTCCCATTGATAAATAATTTTATATTTATTGTAAGTTATTTAATAAAGATAACTATAAAAAAATAAAATTAGTTTAAAAATAAATAATTATTTTATTAAAGAGTGAGATTAATAGAGGAAATACAAATTTGAATCAATAAAAAGATATTCGCGATGGATAAGCGTGAATTAAATTTTAATATTTATATAATTTTTAATAAGAACTAAGTGAATATTACGGCTGGGAAAGCTGGACCTCGAACTATGTGATCAATTTGACTCAATTTGAAAAACTGGATGGTATTTAAAAAACTTAATGATTATATATATATATATATATATATGCATGCATGTATATCTACTTAATTAATTAATTATTAATTATATAGATTATTAAAAATTTAACCAATATGTTTATATAAATTATTAAAAAAAAACACTGCACGATGTAAATATAGGGTCCATTTGTACAGTTAGCGTCGATCTAGTTTAACGTCAAAAGTATAAAACAAAAATAAGTGAACGACCCTTTCAAGTGACAACAGAGAAAGTACTAAACCAGTGAGACGATAAATAAGTGACCTGTGACTGTGACCTCATGCATCACTTTTTATATAAATTACATGCATGACCTTGGATTCCTTTACATCTATTTTTTTATTCCTAAAGTATTTATATATTGCATGCGTTTAAATTGATTATAATAACAATAAAATCAAAATAAGAACTCCAAGTTTGCAGTATTAAATGAAAAAACTTCAAAATTTTATAAAGATTATAGTTAAATCAATTTCAAAATTAATAACTTATGAAGCGAGCGATTTCGAACGTAATTTTCTGGGGACAATATTATAGTGTTGGTATTATAAAGGTTGTCGTAAATTGCAATAATGCATTGAGAATCCATGGCCGTCGGTAGAATCTGACAACCGCAGACATTACATGCAGGTTTCCTTTGTTTTTCCCCCCTTATCAGATGTGCTCATTTGCATTTGTTTCCAAAAATAAAAAATAAAAAATAAAAAGCAATTTGTGTCTCAACTTAATGCGCGTGAAAGGTTTTTAAATTTGAAACTACGTGTCTTGTCCACAAGCACGCGACGAGGGATTCGATGGTTACGTTTAATCAAAAGTTGAAACGTTGTTACCCAAAGAAAGAAAAATGGTGGGATATGCATGTTAGCATAATAGCATTTGAAGTGTGATTTAAATGGAAACATCGTACGTAGCCATGCCTTAAATTATTAGATGACGTGTAGTAACCTCTGATTAATGATACTTAACCCTTGTCCCTAAATCACCGCCCATTTCACTAACCTCGATCTCAACAAAGCATAAACCTCATGACACGCTTCAACCTTGAGACAGCCAGAAGCTTGTTAAAATTGAAATTCGGGAATGTCACGCGCCGCACGTTTTCTTGGTTCCACGTCATTGCTAGCCTGGCTACCCAGAAGTAACTACGTACTGACTCAGCTAAAGATGTACTCCTGCGTATTACATATTTTTCAGATTAAAAAAAAAGCAAAATTATAACATCTGAAGCGAAATAAAAAAAGATTTTGTGCATGTGACATGTACCATGCTTCTAATTCCTAAAGAAAGAATAGTAATAAAATATATGCAATGCTGAGTTACGATAACAACATGCTTATAATAAATATTAAATATCGCGATTTAGCATTATAGGATTTTTTTTTTAATTTTAAGGGCAAGCATTATGCTTGATGAGCCAGCGATCGAATCTACAATCTAATGCAGAGAGGCACGACACAGTACCACTAGATCCAAAAGTCTTTGGTTAGCATTATAGGGATTTTAATTCCACTAGATCAAGCCAAACATTTCTGAACATCAGCTGAAAAATTGAGAACCTGTTCAAATATCACATACCAAACATTTCTAAACATTACCTGGAAAATTAAGAACCCGTTCAAATATCACATGTGTATCTTATAAACATGATAACTAAAATTTCAAATATTAAATGATTTAAAATAATAAAATAATTTAATTAATGAGATTACTCAGGATAATTTGTTTAAAACGATCATTTGTAATTTGAGTTTATTATTTATTTTTTGAAAAGATATTTTTTTAATATGAATAAATCATAGTATTCTTTTTTACAGCGAGTACATTATATTATTCAGGATTCTGATGATGAGCAGCATAATTTTAATATTTTATATGTATTATTTATCTCAAAAGATAAAGTGATAAAGTTGGTAGAGCAAGTGGCCAAAGGCAAGGACGCAGGACTTGAGGATATAGAATTTATGCTTTGCCAGTTTGCCCACGCCCACAACGAGAGATGTCCAGATCATAGCGAAACTAATATTTCTCTCTCTCTTTATTTGTTTTGGGAAATGATAATAAAGCTATATTTATTAATTATTAAATAACAGTAAAGGACATTAACATACCAATTTTTTTTTTTTTGGGTTCCTGGTGAAACTAAATTGTTGTTATGTGAACACAACTTTGTCATTTTCGTGCTTATGTTGGAAAAACGAACCGGCCAAGTACACCGTCGCTCCCACGTTTACTCAATTTCCCTGCCCCTTCCTGGAATGTAGACACCGATGATTTAACGGGTGTACAGTTGCATTTAATACTCTCTTCAATCGTATTCTCTAAAATTCAGGCCAAAATAAAATTATATAATTCATTAATTAGAATAGAAAAATCGCGGCTCCTGCTGACGGAATCTGTCTCAGTGCCAAGATCTTACATGACAACCGACACAAGCTTCCTCTCACCCTCACTCGCATCTCTCGAGCTCAGGACTCTGCAGAAGCTAACCAAAATCTGGAAATGAATTCCTATAGCGAGAAGAGAATTTGCAAAACCCAGCATAATTCAGCATGAGAGTTCCTTTCTTTATCTTCTTTCATATCATATCATTATCCGTGTGCATTGAGCCACACACGGCAGACGGGACCAAAGCTATCAGCTTCAGAACTTTCCATGAATATCAGGCGAGAAGAATTCTGCACCAACCGTTGTTCCCGGAAGGTTCTGCTCCACCACCAGCCGCAGTCGAGTCGCCGCCACCGCCGCCTCCGGACACCCCATCTTCTCCCGACATTCCTTTCTTTCACGAGAATCCCGTGGGACCAACGCCAGATCAGAATCAGACACCGCCGGCGATTCCCAATGGGACAATAGTTTCGAACCCGACGGCGACAACGCCGGCGAACAAGCCCACGAAGAAGGTCGCAATTGCCATGTCTGTTGGAATTGTGACGCTCGGTATGCTCTCGGCACTTGCCTTCTTCTTGTACAGACACCGTGTGAAGCACCCTAGTGAGACCCAGAAGCTCGTGGGTGGGAATTCTCGGGGGATTGAGGAGGATTCTTCGGGGGCCCCACCGTCGAACTTTCTGTACATTGGGACGGTGGAGCCTCCACGAACTGAATCAGTAAGTGAGCCCATCGAGTCCAACGGAGGAAACAAGTCGCCTTATCATAAGCTGAATCCTCCAAAGCGATCCGATCGGTACCGGCCAAGCCCTGAATTGCAGCCATTGCCGCCGCTAACTAAGCCACCAGATGGGAATTACCCTCCGGCGATATCTTCGTCGTCGTCGTCTTCGTCCGACGAGGAAAGCCACGACATGGCGTTTCATACGCCGCACGGATCATCGGTGAGCTGCGAGGATGGCTATTATACTCCAATTTCGCGCCAGAGTTCTCTGGCTAACGGTAGCCCGACGGTGACTACAAGGAGTGAGGCTCATTCCACTAATTATCATCCTTTTTCAAAGAGAACGTCACCAAAATCTCGCTTGTCTGCTTCTTCGCCGGAGGTAAGGCCTGTCATTATACCATCTATAAAGCAGACTCCACCGCCTCCTCCTCCTCCGCCACCTCGATCGACACCGTTTCAGCATGTAGATAAACAAGTGGCCTCCGGTGCTTCTAGAAGGCCTAAATTCTCAGCGCCACCTCCGGCACCGAATTTGATGCATCTCCGGTCAACAGACTCCACACTCCAGGACACGTCGAGGACTTCCCCCAAATATCCTCCTCCGCCTCCGCCACCCCCTCCTCCTCCTCCACCGCGACACCCTCAAACAACACCAAGGAAAACAGTGTCTCCGGCAATTAGTGTTCCCTCATCCTCTCCATCGAGAAAGCAACAGTCTTGGTCTGCAAGTGAAGGAGCTGCTTCTGGTAAAAGTGTAACAAAAGCTTCAGACTCTGAGCATGTTGATCAAAGGCTCGCCTCTTCCGAGAGGATGGAAGCCGATGACATGGACGGAGGGAAACCCAAGTTAAAGGCTTTGCACTGGGATAAAGTGCGAGCAACCTCAGATCGTGCTACTGTGTGGGACCAGCTAAAATCAAGCTCATTTCAGTAAGTAAAATTGCCATTCACTACAACTCTGGGCTAGTACTTGAAACTAACTATGAGCTAATAAGTGTTCCTTGAAAAAAAAAAAAATTCTGTAGACTGAATGAGGACATGATGGAGAGCCTGTTTGGCTGCAATTCTACAAATGTCGTTCCCAAAGAACGTCCAAGAAAATTAGTTCTTCCTCCTGTTGATCAGGAAGAGAAGGTGCTGGACCCGAAGAAGTCACAGAACATAGCTATACTGCTAAGGGCACTAAATGTGACGAGAGATGAAGTGTGCGAAGCTCTTTTGGACGGTAAGTTGATTTATTCACAAGTTCATGTACACGCAAATCGTTCTTGATCACTAGTGTCTCTCAATTATTTTAGTTACACAATTGGATGTCACCTGCAGAGTACTACTTCTGTAACACATGTAAAAAGACACGTTCAATGTATGTATAGTGTGTGAGTGTGTGTGTTTGTAGAATCCTGCAAAATATGGAGTCACAAGCTCGTATTTTCCCCATAGCAATTTCCCAACAATACAAGCAAAGAGAATCTAAAAGAAAACTGCATGGTTCAAGAAATCAAACAAACAAAACTAAAAAAGGCATCATCATCATTCTTTACATCTATATTAAGTATAAGTAAGCAGCATTGTGTGCTGTCTTTGTGACCGAATCTAGCTCAATGTCTTTAGTGGTCCAATTATTAGACATCCTTTCAGAAGCATAGATTTGAACACGTTGGTTTATGATCACTCTTGTTCTTCAACTGCCTTGGGATGAAGAAGAAATCAAACAAAATATTCCCAAAACTGTTTCCTTCCCCTTCTTCTGAGGAAGTGTTGATATTCACTGCCGCTGTGAACAATCAGTTAATCCTTCCAATCATCCTTACCATTCACATAACCCTTCTCCATCAGTTGTGACTATCTAGCTTCCTCTTAAAGCAAGAGCCCTGCTTTCTGAGCCACGAATATCACAAATGAGAAAAGTCTGGCTGTTCTCTGCGAGTTATTTCTCATTAATTAATTTGCATCATATAGATAGGACTCCATATATCTACATCATGCTTGCTTAAGTTCTCCCAATCATTGTTGAAATACTCTTTTTCTTCCTTTTAACTCAAATTTCTTTCCAGTTTCTTCCATCCTTACTCTTTCATTCTTCCATCTTTTGCAAATTCACCATCTTGATCTCCAGTTATGGATGTACCAATCCTCAATTCGTATTATCTAAATGTGAAGGTTGATTTCATATTTTACTTTACAGTCTTAGTTGAATTAATTTTGATTTATAATATTTTTTTTACTCCATATCTGATGTTTCTGGTTTATTTACTTCACTGAATAAGTAAGTGTAACAAATGTCAAATATTGTTTTTGGACAAAGCAGGTAATCCTGAAGGTTTGGGTACTGAGCTGTTTGAAACTCTGGTAAAGATGGCTCCCACTAAGGAGGAAGAGATAAAGCTTAAAAAGTATGATGGTGACCTTTCAAAACTTGGGTCTGCAGAAAGATTTCTCAAAGCGGTGCTTGATATCCCTTTTGCTTTTAAAAGAGTCGAGGCCTTGCTATACAGAGCTAACTTTGATACTGAAGTTAATTACCTGAAGAAGTCTTTTCAATCCCTTGAGGTAACAATAGCTTAAATCAAGGTCTAGCTCTCTTGGTTTCTTTCCTGCAATTACATTCACGGTTGTCTCCTGAGAAATTAACCAATTATTTGTCTGTGTTACCAGGCAGCAAGTGAGGAATTGAAGAACAGTCGGCTGTTCCTCAAACTGCTCGAAGCTGTTCTTAGGACAGGAAACAGAATGAATGTTGGCACCAATCGTGGTGATGCTAAAGCTTTTAAACTGGAGACGCTGCTAAAACTGGTGGACATAAAGGGAACTGATGGTAAGACTACATTGCTTCACTTTGTGGTCCAAGAGATCATTAGATCTGAAGGTGCAGGCAGTGATTCCGCACATGAGAGTGTTCAGGAGAAAATGAGTTCCAAATTCAATGAGGATGAATTCAAGAAGCAAGGATTGCAGGTTGTGTCTGGACTAGGTAGAGACCTCAGCAATGTCAAGAAAGCAGCAACAATGGATTCAGATGTCTTAAGCAGCTATGTCGCAAAGCTCGAAATGGGGCTTGAGAAAGTGAGATCTGTTATGCCATACGAAAAATCAGATATGGAAGGGAATTTCTTCAACTCCATGAAGCTATTTCTGAGAGATGCTGAAGAGAAAATTGTTAGGATTAAGGATGATGAAAGAAAGGCTTTATTACTTGTGAAAGAAGTGACAGAGTACTTTCATGGGGATACAGCAAAGGAAGAAGCCCACCCTCTCAGAATCTTCATGATTGTAAGGGACTTTCTAAATATTTTGGATCAAGTGTGCAAAGAAGTTGGAAGGATGCAGGATAGAGTTATGGTTGGTGCTGCAAGATCTTTCAGGATAGCTGCTAGTGCATCACTGCCTGTTCTCAACAAGTACCATGCAAGACAAGATAGAAGTTCAGATGAAGAAAGTTCATCTCCATAGTACTGTAAAATATGAAGCAACAATAGTTTCTCAGGAAAAGGATAGTTCTACTATACCAAGATTTCATTCCGAAGTATCACTGGAAGAGTACAGCTTTATGAATAAAAATGGTTCCCTGAAATTGCTATGTAAATGTTGGGGAGACAACAAGAAGCTGTGGTAAGTACTTTCTGGTTTACAGAGGAAGGAGGCAGAGGTTTATGTTCAAAGTTCAAACATAATATGAAACAAACTTCAATTTCTCAATGGGAAGTGCACGACACACATCTTTTTTGTTTTTTTGATTCCAGCACATATACCATAGTTGAGATAGGTTTTATTAGATCATAGTTCTACAAATTTTCATATTTTATAATGCATTGATTTCACCCAAGAGGCTCTTATATGTAATTTTTTAATCAATTATTAATAATAAATAGCAGTTTTGCCGCATTTCTTGATCAGATCCTATTTCCTAGCACTTCATCTGAGAAAAGCGAGTACAAAAATTTTGTGGTAAATGCAGAAAGGAACAACATTGTGCTCTGGATTGTCTCACATGTTAAATTCGCAAAAGCTTAGTTGTGGTATTGTTTCTCATCACCAACAAAGGTAATAAAATCGAAGTTTACCCTGTACTACAAATTTACAATTTGAAGCTTTCATATATATGCACATGGATGGACAATATTCAACTTGAAGTTTATTCCGCGCCAATTTCGTTTCATTCCCGCCAAGTTTGGGCTATTGCTGTTGAAAAATTGGTGCCACAGCAATTCCCTTTGTTCTCAAAATCTTCTGAACCAATATTTTCCACTTCATCTCATCTCTCTTTCTTTGATTTGATATTTTTTGCTTGAAACTCCTGAAACGACAGGATTCATATGGGTTTAAGATAATTGAGAGGTGAGAATAACAATTTGGCTTACGAACATTAAATGTTATATAAATAGAAAAGTTAATTAATCCATTAGTATTTAGATAAATTACCTGCATAAAGGAACTTTACAGATATGTGGATCAGCACATAATCGAGAATGTAACTCAAATAGTTGCCACATTCTCTTACAATGAATGCAACCACGTGGGACCCTCAATTTACAGGCAACAAAATGACGAATAAGCAATTCTATCCCCTTGCAGGCTGCATAACCACAAGGAGCGTCGTTCGTTTTTAAATCTTTATCGCGTGGACCAATAGTTCGACACCCATCTCTACAGATGTGAACCAGTGCTTCCATTGCCTCGTACAGTTCTATATGGATCTTCCTTTCTTCACTCTTCCTCTTCCTCATCTTCTTTCTCTGGTTGTGAATTCATCCCACCAAAAAAAAAAAAAAATCAGATCCAGAAAAGACAAGAAAAATCGAGAGCAATTAAAGAGAAGACGGGATATTTTACATTCTCTTCCATGGTTATGTATTCGAGAAGTTCGGATTCCAGAAATGGGTGACTCTGCTTCATTGCTTCCCAACCTTCAGACTCTGAAACAGGTTTGAGATTCTTTGAGATCATTCGGTAACAAATTAGGCTCAGCCGGGGAGCATCACATAGCAATGAAAGCTGAAATACGTCAACTACGTTGTCTATAGTGAGCAAACTCATCTCTAGCTTTTCTTCACATTCACGCTTCAAGTGAGGGACAACAAATGCATGTGACAGCACCAATAAAGGCAAGACCAGTTCTTCCATTTCTTCTTTCTCATAGCTATCAAAGAAAGCGTCAAAACAGTCATGATTCCCAACAGTTGCTACGGTCAAGTAATTGTGCTATTCTTATAGAATTTCACTACAAGTCACGTTTGCTTATTAGAATATAATATAATAGAATGGATTAAAAAATAAAATATCAAAAAAAATAAGTGAACAGATTTATAAAAGAGGGGGTAATTTAGTTAATGTAGTTGAGAATAATGATTCATATAATTTTCGAAGGGTGTAACGATCCTCACTTTTTTTATATGTATTAATTTTATCATATTTAATATAGGAGAAGGATGATTTTTTCCCCCTTAATTTTTTCAATCCATTTCATTCTATTTTATTCTAATAAGCAAATGTGACCATAAATTTAATCCCAATAATTTGAAAATTTATACTTCTTGTTGTCCCTAGCATGAAATTTTTGCCATAAGATTAACAAGAGCAAAATTAGAATTTTTTTTTTTAAGAGCGCTGCTACAAACTAATAAACTATAGGAGATATAGTGACCGAAAAAATTAAGATGTAAGAACAGAGTAAAACTTTTAAGAGCGCCTGAGCCTGTTCTGAAGATTGTGAGGTAAATAAAAGGGATAGAACATACCACGAAGAATACAAGAATCGAATGAAAACTCGGACTGCGTCATGTGGAACCCCGAGAATGGAAATAGATCGCCGACCATAACGACGACTTGCTTGCTTTAGCATGCCTCTCAAAACTGGAGAACCCATTCGCTGTTCTTACGGTATCATGTAAGTGGCATGGATTCAGCAAGTAACGTAAACATCCACTCACATAATTGTTAGTAAAGAAGCAATTATGATTTCAGCATACTAATATTATACGACTAAGGTACAAATTCAATTGAAATGAATAAACTTACAAGAATGTGAGAATGAGCAAAAATAATACCACCGTTACGAGTATTAATGCCAACATCTGCTTTATAGCCTTCGTCGAAAAGACGATCCCACAAATCTCTTGTTGCCGGGGACACATAGCTGCACTTCCTTGGCGTTAAATTGTTCACAAACTTTTTCTGGCTCGTGCAGCTGGTTAATGCCGACCTAGGCAAAGGGGGTGGCGGTACTGGAATTGAATTATTGACCTCCATAAATGATTCACAATATCTGCGATCCAACTTAACCTCACTTTGTGATCCACTCTCCAATACAGCTGCATAAATATAAAAACAGATCATCAAACGGTACTACATGGCTTTTGAAGATTAATGCCAGAAACAAACCCAGTCAAGCATCCGTTACTTCATACACTACGTCATGATTTGTTTCAATCCCAACTTTGTAATGGGAGAAACAGATCCAGTCAAGGAATGTGGAATGGAAATGAAATTGATTAAAGCAGTTAGTGCGGAAATCACGTACTTAGAGGGCATAAAAGCCGAAGCAGTCGGAAAATGATTGTTGGGAACGGAATCTTGAATCGGAGAAATGGTGAATATCACTTTTCCGATGACACAGTGCTCAGAATTCTGAAACGACGACGTGGGAAGTGATTGGTGGGATAACGGAGTGATAATGCGAATTGCATCATGGACACATGGTTTCTTGAAGAAGGACGAGATTTTCAGGGAAATGGGATCGATTATGTTATCCAAAAACTCACGAGTCACGAGCCCATCTGTCAGTCCTCTTCGCACCAAACCCCACAAATGAGACTCTCGCTCGCGCGCTTCTGGATGTTTAATCTGTTCATCAATAATAACGTTACGCACGCGCTATTTTCCCGCGCTGTTGCTTAACTGCTCTAACGTTCACCGCATTCTCTAACTGAGCCTTGCTTTTTTTTTTTCCCCTTCTTTTTTTTCCCCCCTTCTTTTTTTGGAACAATCTTTTTTTATGATAGTTCGATCCTTAATAATTTTTTTAAAAAAATCAGCTATAACTATTGATTTAGATTGTTATAAATTTAAAAGTTTTAAGTGTAAATAAGACATTTAAATTTTAAATATAACTCTCAATTTAGATTTAGAATTCTTATTTATAACTGTTTGATATAATAATTGTAATTTATTTTTAAACTTTTTTTATAAGGGAACATGATTGTTACAAATTTCCTATCAAATTAACTTCTATCCAATATTTTAAGATTTAAAACTTTGTGCTGAATGATCGATGTATTTAAGTACCTATTTTTTTACTTTTAAAATGTGGGATGTTATTTAATATATCAAATTTTATTTTATTTAAAATTTTTATTACTCAAAAATGTTTGTTTAGTTGGTTAAGCTTTTTTGAATAAAAAAATTATCATATATATTTTTTGAATCATGTTATTTTTTAATATTAATGTATGTTGAACTATTTATTATATAATTTTTTCAATATATCAAAATTTATATTTTTTATTTTTATTATTTAACATATCAAATTTTATGTTATTTAAATATTTTATCACATTTTTTAAACATTTCAAATATATTATATTTATAATAAAAATTATAAATAATCATAAATCAATGTCCATTTTGATAATTATTTATTTAAAAATACATTTTATTATCATAATTTAAATAACTTTCAGTTTATCAATATGACTTTAAAAAAATTAAAACATAAATTTTATTATAATAACTAACTTTCACTAAATTAACTTTTGTTAAATGAATTTTTGATAAATTGATTTTTGGTTAATGAAAAACAAAACATACACTAAGTTTGAGGAAATATGAGGAGTTGGTTCTGATTTTTTTTAAATATAAGTTGTCAATTTTTATCTTTTTATCCATCCATTTTCTAAATGAATTTCATAAATCGACTGAATTTTTGTCATGATTAACTTATGAATTTTTGGTTAAATTTATTAGTTCAATCAGTTTTAAAGATTGTTGCCAAAAAAAGAAAAAAGAAAAAAATCAGTTTTAAAAATTGACTGATACATGGCAGAAAATGTAACTTTTGCAATCTGCAATTGGCTAATCGCAACAGATCGGATCCCGCTTTTTTCTTTGTACATAACGTACAACAGAATATTTAGAGTCTCAATAAACAAGAAAACAATTTCATCCACATTGTGACTAATCAACCGTGGTTTAACTAAGAGTTAGGCAAAAATATATAGCTTCGTAAATGATAAAATGAGCATACGCATAGAGCGGTTATCAAGCCCTTTCAAATTAAATAATTAATGTCCGTACAAAAACTTATGGGCCAACTTTTGTGGTAATGATGGGCTGTATGGCCCAATTAAATTAGTGATGGGCCAGCAAGTCAGGTTCAAGATGAGTCAGCTTGGAGCAGAAGTACGATCGGTTCGTATCACATTATCAAGCTTCACATGCGAATGAAAGCATCCACTGACCTAGATGTGTGAATATTTCATAAATTTAAAAAAGCTTGATAAACTAAACGCTTGGTGAATTAAAATCTTGAGAGCTCATCAGAGTCAATATATACCTATGATGTATGGACTCAAAAAATGTATTACAAGTACTTGCAAAATGCCCATTAATAATGTACTCTATATTTGTAGAGAGATTTCAACCCATTGACCTTGTGTAATATGAATTAAATTCTTATCTATATTGGTACCAAAAATTTAAAATTTATCCAATCATCCAGCGGAAAAAGCAAAAGCCTAACAAAGACTATTCAAAAACTGAAAAATAGTATCATGAGAAAATGAAGGGAGAATAGCAATTAGGTCACAAATGAATGAATTAATGACAACTAAGTCATCAGTAATTTTTTTGAAAAGATAAATTGAAAACATCAATATAGATTATTACAAATT